ATGTCTTTCTGTTTGCTTTCTGAATCGTGGGTAAAAAATAAATCGGGCATCTTAGAAAAGAAATATAGTATAAGGGTAATGCTATTTTTGAGGGCATTATCATTTGCAGCGGTCCGCAAATTTCTGATAATGGGAGGGCCGTTTCACGATAATTCCATGTATTTTAGCTATAATATCTAATAACATAATACCTACCTCGTGTATAGACGCAAGCGTCCCCAGTCTGTTCTATATTACATTATGCATTGGGGTAGAGCGAACTGTATTCGTGATTAATGTTTCAACATTACGCTCATTCTTTGTAGTTTGTTTGTGGAATATTTTGCATTCGTAATATTATTAAATTAAATGGCGTTCTATACCGTCCATCGGACATACCGTTATTACGTGTGGCAGATGTTTTGATGTTCTGTATGTGTATTGATATTTCTAACTGATATAGTGCGTGAAGAGACTAAACGCCAGGTGACACTCATGGTATGATCAACGTGTATTAATATTGCAGTGATCAGATCAGAGACATGGTTATCTTGGGCTTTGCAATTTATGTTTAGAGTTGTGTCCCTTTGTGCTAGATATGTGAGTGAGTGAGTGAGTTTAGTTTTACGCCGCATTCAGAAATATCCCAGCTATATGGCGGCGGTCTGTAAATAATCGAGTCTGGACCAGACAGTCCAGTGATCAACAGCATGAGCATCGATCTGCGCAATTGGTAACCGATGACATGTGTCAACCAAGTCAGCGAAACTGACCACCTGATCCCGTTAGTCGCCTCTTACGACAAGCATAGTCGCCCTTTATGGCAAGCACATGGGTTGCTGAAGACCTATTCTATCCCGAATCTTCACGGGTCTGCTAGATATGTACGTTATTATAGTGTCGTCCCGGTTGGCTTTGATATCCTTCTCGGTTTGTCGGCACCAAAACAAGTTTTTGCTGTTTAACCCATAAAGAATACATATTATACTTTTACTGACGCATCGAGTAAGTGAGTTTAGTTTTACGCCGCACCCAGCAATATTCCAGCTAAATGACGGCTGTCTGTCAATAACTGTGTCTGGACCAGACAATCCAGTGTTTAACAGCATGAACATCGTTCTACGCATTAGGGATACAATGACATGTGTCAACCAAGTCAGCAAGCCTGACCACCCGATCCCGTTGGTCGCCTCGGTTACTGAAGATCAATTTCAACCCTGATCTTCACGGGTCTCTAACGCATCGAAGTAACGTGATATACCTTCAATTCTGTTCAAAGCGGAATTAAACAAAACTCACGGACCAGATAATGATTAAAAATGAAAATGAATATATCATAAGAATGCTATGTAAAACCTCATTTAAAAAGCAAGGGGCACGTCAAAACATATATGGTAAATGTGTAATGCAATGGGTTGGAGAACGTTCTTGAACTACAGTCAGCAATATTCTGGTTTTACTTAATGAGATTCCATCAGCGCCTTAAAAACTTGAGTACAAGACGTGGGACATGTGTGAATTTGGAAGATTACAAAGTGTAGCAGAACATCACTCGTTAACAGATTATTCTGTGCACGGGATACGTACGTTACAATCCCTGGCACTGCACTCGTGAAGGCGAGGGACGTGTAGATGCTTCTTTGGTTTTTTTAATGTTGCTTTTTTGGTTTTAATTTGCGGCGGTTCATTCATCACTGTTTTTATTTTACGCCCAAAGCAATCTGTTTCGGCAGATAATCTACAATGATGATTCACTAGTGTTGACGTTTCTCATTAACTTGAACTGAGTTAACGTTTCTGCAGATGGGCTGAAGTCTTGTTTTCTAGTCATAACTGTAACATTTATGCTGAATCAACAACGACATTAAGACTGTCCTTGATGATCACTGTGTTGCGAAACGAACATATTTCTTAAGTGTTTTCCCTTTATTCGTAAACAACAGAATCTGTGCACATGTACGCAGAGAAATATTTCAAAATTGAGATGAAGGTTTGCAACAAGTGGAACAAAATCTGTGTCAATGTGTTGTCTGCCCCCGAGACTCTCTGAGGGTGATGGGCTAAGCGTTCGTTCGTCACACCGACGACCAGGGTTCGATTCTCAACATGGGTACAATGTATGAAGCAAATTTCTGATGTCCTCTACAATGACATTGCTAGAATATAACTTAAAGCTGCGTAAAACCTACCTCATTCAGTCAAGACTCAAACGGGATTGATTATTTTACACCCCACTGTCATATGTCAGTGCTAATGCTTAGAGCAAAGGTCTTTATATATTTTTTGAATGCGAAAGGATCGCAGGTGCTACCGTTAGGAACACGCTGACCCTTTTAGCCAGCTCCATGTGTCATCTCGGAGGTTTAGTGATCTATCCGTATAACTATCATTACTGTTTGCCGACCCGTGAAGATCCGGGGTAGAATAGGTCTTCAGCAACCCATGTGCTTGCCATAAAAGGCGACTATGCTTGTCGTAAGAGGCGACTAACGGGATCGGGTGGTCAATTTCACTGACTTGGTTGACACATGTCATCGGTTCCCAATTGCGCAGATCGATGCTCATGCTGTTGATGACTGGATTGTCTGGTCCGGGACTCGATTATTTACAGACTGCCGCCATATAGCTGGGATATTGCTCAGTGCGGCGTAAAACTAAACTCACTCACACTCACTACTGTTTGCCTTGTACACTCATCGTTATTTGTTTAGGTAGATGATGGACACTGATTGTTTTCTGACTTGGCGCGTTACATTCACCATAGCCGTGAATGACTGCACAGCACCTCTTATTCATGGGCATAGATGCCTGCGAATGATCCCTCATGGAATGAGGAGCTTGGCGCCATTGCTGCAGGTTGTGTGACCCTAGTTGATGTTGACGTGGATGTTTCTGCAGATCATTGCACAGGAACTCAGTTGGATTTACAGTCTATGACCAGGGACTGACTGACTGACTGAGTTTGGTTTTACGCCGCTTTTAGCAATATTCCAGCTACATCACGGCAGGGGAACACCAGAAATGGGCTTCACACATTGTACCCATGTGGGGATTCGAACCCGGGTCTTCGGCGTGACGAGCCAACGCTTTAACCACTAGGCTACCCCACCGCCCCCTATGACCATGGAGGGTGCATCAGTTTATTTTATTCTGACTATTTGTTGTTTATCTCCGCTCTGAGCAATATTCCAGCTTTATAGTGGCGGTCTGTAAATAATCGACGCTGGACTAGACAATCCAGTGATCAACAACATGAGCATCGATCTACGCAATTGGAATACGATGACATGTGTCAATCAAGTCAGCGACCCTGACCACCCAATTCCGTTAGTCGCCTCTGATGACAAGCATGGGTTGCTTAAGACCCGGATTCTAATATATCGTTATATTAATATGCCTTTTTATCTTGTGAGTGATTGATTGACTGACTGAGTGAGTGAGTGAGTTAGTTTACGTCGATTTTAGCAACATTCCAGCAAATCACGGCGGGGGACACCACAGATGGGCTTCACACATTGTACCCATGTGGGTAATCGAACCCGGGCCTTCGGCGTGACGAGCGGACGCTTTAACCACTAGGCTACCCTATTCCTTCTTCTCTTCTTGTGAAACGGGAACTAGTTTGAATTTGTTTCATGGAGTGATTGTAGAGGTACGACTGACGTATCAAGTTATCATTTCAGTCGTAATTCTCACACTTCTGTGCAAAAACCTAGCCTTCAGAACCTTGAGTGAGTCAGTGAGTCAGTGAGTGAGGTTATAACGCTTTCAACAGCATTTCAGCTGGTTTAAGGTTCATGTTTACCGGTGAAAAAATCCTCAATTGAACCATTTTATCAATGAGTGAGTGAGTGAGTCAGTTTAGTTTTACGCCGCACTCAGAAATATTCCAGCTATATGGCGGCGGTCTGTAAATAATCGAGTCTGGACCAGACAATCCAGTGATCAACAGCATGAGCATCGATCTGCGCAATTGGGAACCGATGACATGTGTCAAACAAGTCAGCGACCCTGACCACCCGATTCCGTTAGTCACCTCTTACGACAAGCATGGGTTACTGAAGGTTCATTCTAACCCGGACCTTCACGGGTCATTTATATTTTAAATATTTTTAAACAAATGACGCATGTACGGTATTCTCAAAATAAAGAAAAAATGAATCCACAACCAAAACATAGTGAGTGGCTTAACGTCGCTTTGAAGTACATTCGAATTATATCACGGCGTGTCCATCTTAATGCGCGAGTAAGAGCATGACACTGACCGGCAGGCCCAGAAAAGCTGCGTATCCAGGTAAAATACGCATAGAAAATTTCCAATTACGCATTGAAAAATAATTGTTGCGTACCAATTACGCATTTAAAATGTTAGATACGCAAAAAGTTTAAAACAAATGCGTACGGAATATATTTATAAAAATAGCTTGCGTAATGAAAAAGACATCGATTGCTATCAAGTTGTACTGTTAGTATAGGACAAGTGTTGTACTGTCAGTATAGGATGAGTGATTTTTTATGAAATCATTTCCATTATATTTAAGTTGGTTTTGATTAGGTATGACATGAGGCAGAACATACCTGCTTAGTAAACTTACTCAATGACATAATACTTAAGTGAGTAAAATGACTGAAATACGCACATATTTGAAAGCAGTGGGTAACGGAAAATGAAATACCCACTCAACATTCATAATACCCACTCCAAAAAAATACAGTGGGTACAGTACCCACATGAGCTAAATCTTATCTGGAGCTCTGGACATCATGCAGGTATCAGGCTTTCACCACTTTGAAGACACCACAAGAAAGGGTATGGTGGCGACAAACAAAGACATACAAGTTCACTCCAAATTTCGCCAAACTGAGACTACCGTGACATCTTCGCCCTCGTATAAAGTATATATATATTCACCACATTATATAGTATACCTTACTTGATTCCCTCGAGGAAAACACATAGCGAAATAGCATACTGAACAATGCTTCCTTATTTATTTCCATGAGTATATATAAAAACTTACCCTTGCCGATGGAGAAAACTCCGAATCCCAGGATATCAACGGTAATCCATAGTAATCGGCTAGCTGACTTATGTATTTATGGGCACCAAGTCTTTCCTTCTTCATAGACAATGGGTTGTTTATATGGAACAGTACAACAGCGTTGGACGAGAATGAGGTATCACAAAACGCTTGAAGAATTTCGTTGGGAGTATCGTCACGCAGAATGGTACTGCGAGCACTAAAGTCGAAGTATCTAAGGTTACGATATTTCAATAGCTTCCTCCTTGCACGAGGGGCGAAGTCGGCAAATAACGTCCTGTTAAGTGTCTTGAAGAAGCCTCCTTCTTGAAGAAGCGCATGAATCGCAACCTTTCTTTTTGAAGGTCTGGACAACTGACCATCCCCCCTTTGGCACAGGACGATGGTCAGGAGGAGCACAACCACCTCCTGCCACGGCCACCACATCCTCATCCCGAGCCTAGCTGACCACACAGGCGATTGATCCTTCACTCAGATGCGGCCACTTGTGTTCATTTCCCATACCATCCTGAAACAGAAAAACAGCCTTTTAATGAATGAAAATGACGTCACAAGCACCAGGTGAGTGAGTTTAGTTTTACGCCGCACTCAGCAATATTCCAGCTATATGGCGGCGGTCTGTGAATAATGGAGTCTGGACCAGACAATCTCGTGATCAACAGCATGAGCATCGATCTGCGCAATTGGAACCGATGACATGTGTTAAGCAAGTCAGCGAGCCTGACCACCCGATCCCATTCGTCGTCTCTTATGACAAGCATGGGTTACTGAAGGTTCATTCTAACCCGGACCTACACGATTTTTTTTCAAGATGGAAGCTAAAACATATCATTAATGAAAATACCAAGAGACACAGGGACCCGTTTCACAGAACAATCATGTCCTTCACTACCCTTAAACGTTAACGTTTGACAATTCTAACGCTACGGCTGACTTTGTAAACGGGTCCCAGTACTGTTCCAAACAAGTCATCATTTTACCAAACTATGAATCCCTGACTGGGCCTAGTTTCCTTTGTTTTAGTTTGGTTCGATCTTCAAGCGTCGAGGCTAAAACACAACAGTAGACATGTCTAAACGTCCCAATAATTCCAACCTTTGTAACAAGAGCCATTGTGGTGTGAAACGTCGCGACCTGATCTCGATTCAGGGAGCGTTTTTCTCAACAATGTTTCTTATTCTTTGAAAGTAAGTCTGTGGACAGAGTAATAGGTAATGGACAAGAACATGGTCTTGAAACCGCTTACATTAATTGACTTTTAAAATCCCTTACCATTTAGAAATCAATGCACCTGTGTCTCCATACGTCTGTCTACAACTCCCACACCCTGTTAGTTATTCAAAAGTTACACACATGTAAGTCTGTGACTGTGTTCATTGCGATGCAGTCGTTCTGTGTACACGTGTGAATCGATCAGAATAAGCTTATTATACACTAATTGCTTCTTGAGGTACTGTAGTTTACGGCGTTCGGAGTTTGTTTTTAGACTATTTATTGACTCGTGTTCCCTTTAACATTTACAGAGGCTTTTAACAGATACACACTATCAGAATGACCAAAGGCATGTTTTTTACAAGCCTCAAGAAACACTGTGTTCAACTGTTGCTTGGTTACATCAAACATTTTTTTCTAAAAACCAAACCTCACGTTGTTGTCTGTGCAGAGCCCCATCTTTTATGCTAGTATGATATGTGATAAAAAGAAAGATTGGCCGACAACTTTGTTTTGTGTTACAAGAACGATCTTAGAGCGCCAATGAGGTGAGAAGAGGCATCGACTCTGCGAAGTATCACCATGTCAAACCGACTTTGGTCCACTGGACACAGTGTCTGCCCGGAGCGAATGTTTCATGGTGCAGGCTCTGGTCGCGTTAAAACGAGGACCTGTCGGCTCACAGTCAGTTTAATATGCTTGTCTGGGTATATGTGTCAACATCCGGCATGGTGGGCTGGAGTGGTCTGCGGTCTTTTTTCGACTCCCCACATGGGTACAATGTGTTGAGCCAATTTCTGGTGTCCCAGATATTGCTGGAATATTGCTGAAATCAGTGGAAAACCATACTCACTCAACCAATGGGATAGAACTATAGCACCGCCATTAATTATGTAAAAATGCATACAGCCGCACACTGATATACAATCCACCCACGTCTCTCTGTAAACGCAGTTAAACGCAACCAAAATCCCATTTTACCACAATTCATCATGTTACAAACATGACTAGAAAACGACAAACAACATCACCAGGCAGTGCAAAAAGAATTAGCTGTTGTTTCTAGAAGCGGATCCTGTACACTGCCTAGAAAAAATAAAATGAACTTAAGACAGAAAAAGTGACACATTAAAATGTTCTTCATGTGTCGAACTATGATTGTCTCGAAGTCATCCTGTTGTGTCGAAAATCGGATGTCTCGAAGTATTTAGGTAGGTCATTCCAACTTCGATACCATGTGAAAGCTCTTTTCCCCCAAAACGACGACACATCATAATAATTCTCAACCATGTAGGTATTTTGTAACATCTGTTGCCAAAGCATATATGCTAGCAAATATGATCCATCCCAACGTGCAATCTAATGCAGAGGCGTTTCCATTTATTAACTGCGTGTAGGTGGATTTATGTGACATATTGTCGGTTCATCAATGGTCTTCTTCGTCCTACATTTCTATGACTGCAGTATCTGTGTTGTATATTGCAGACAATCAGGTACTATTGAAATGCAATAAATGATCCAATTTAATCAGTCGAGACCAATATATTATCATTGACTGAAACGTTTCAGCAGCTCATGTACGTTTTCAACGAATTATTCATGATAAATAAATAATAAAAATCGCGTAACAGATTGAAACCCAGCTCTCGTAGTGATGCGAGCGGACGCACATGGGAACCGTCCAAATTCTATATAGATTAGCAATGACAATCCATGCAGACTTGACATAAATTCAGGGCGAATCTGTGTTTCGAACTCCGGATAATATGTTTTCGGCGCCTTACAATGCATGACCGCCAAATCATTGCTGAACTCATAACAGATTTAGAATTTTTGACGCAATGAGCAGAATTGATCTGAAGTTGTTGACCGTTTTGCTTCCAGACCAAGATTTCTATGTCTGTACATTTGCTACATATACACTAAACATCGAATATACGGTACATCACTCAATAGGCATAGTTTCTTCTGGTGGCACTATTATAGAGAAGACACAAGATTCCTTGCTGCAAGTAAATCTCTTTTGTCATACTAGGTGTTACAAACTGCTAAAAATATTTCATAGCGATGGACCGTTTTGAAAAGTAGCAAAAAATGATGTTTATCATATCTGCACAATCATAGTCAAAAGGTTTGCAATATTCATATCCATGTATACCCAACCTGCACTCAGCTTTTAACTGACTTCTCATATATACGGTAATCCATTTGAGGTGTTTGAATACTGATATTATCTCAGCTCAAAAACATTTCTTTGCTGATATAGAATTCGGAGAATATCCACCATTCATTTGAAAGATATAAGACTCAAAGTTCGAATCAAATTAAGCTACAACACACAGATACAGACATACACGCACGCACGCACACTCACACACTTGCATACACATATACATACACGTTCACGCACGAATATACACATACACATAAACATATAGATACACTTTACATACGCACATATATACGCATATCAATACATATACATACACATAACGTACACACACACACACACACACACACACACACACACACACACACACACATGTACATGAACATGTACTTACAATCTGACCTTTGGCTGTTAACTTCCCATACACGATGTAACATTCCCTTCGTCGTATATTCCAAACTGAATTACAGTAGTATATTCATTGTGATGAACATGAACACAGCTGTGGTCGCAGGTTCTACATGGTCGATGGACGAGTGCAAGCTCTATTCAGCTTCAAACAGTCAGCCACAATACCGTTCGTCAATATTTCCACACATGAAGTAGTATGAAGGTTACAAAGTTTAACGTACGTACCACAACAAAAGCTTCAAATAATACCTCCATGACCGAATCTGTTTAACATGCACCATGTCTAACCAGGTGGAAGCTTTCCTTCGATCGAGTCATTAGTATTACATCTCAAGTATGAAGCATACACTAGAACATGTCTCGCTGTATAGCAGATACTATTATATATGCTCTTCAAAAACGTAGGGGAAGCCCTGAAATAACCAACAATTTACATAGTTATGAAGTTACTTTCTAGTTATATCTGTATCACCATCATTTATTTACTCGTGCGAAATATGGATATGAAATGACATTTTCTTTCACCATGTCCATATGAACACATTTCTTAAAATAGCTGACGTTGTACCATGAACATGGACAATTGCTAACATACTGAAAGTTGTAGTAGGTGTAATAACCGTTAACAATCTTGACGGATGATAGGTATAAGATTATATTTTGGATCAGTAATGTTTAATACCGAAAATTAATTAACATTCATTCACTCGACGAGATATCTTTCGTTCGAACCTCCATGGAGATGTGAGAGAGTCGCATCCTCCTCCTCATCATCATCCTCCCCTTCCCAACTCCTGTGTCAACGTCTTGCCATTTTCAGCAAACGTGATCGGTTGTCTACGACGTTGTCGCACACGTCTTCCTAACATATTCCTTTGTTTGTTTGTTTGTTGTTTAACGCCGTACTCAGCAATATTTCGGCTATATGGCGGTGGTCTGTAAATAATCGAGCCTGGACCAGACAATCCAGTGATCCACATCATGAGCATCGTTATCCCAGTGGGATGGGTGGGGTGAGAATGTTGCCTGGGCTCACAACTGGCTGTGACATTCTATGGATGTTGTTTTGTTGGCCAACTGATGTGAAAAGTGAGCGGCCATTCATGATGAGAACGAGCGTTGTCATCCTGAAAGCGAAAGGTCCATCCAAGCAAACAGGACATCAAAGGAGTCAGTACGTCGTCCCGATGGTACTGTCCAGTGACCCGTTCTTGCACAATCTGAACGTAGGGAATTCAGTCATACACCAGCCCACACCGTGACTGATCCAACGCCAATTCTGTCATGACGTTGCCACTGGCCATGACGTTCCTTTCGACGTAGCTAGACAAGACCACACATATCAATCCAGAGGAAATGAATAAGAACTTATCGAAAAAGATGACACGTGACCAACAACAACTACCACAGTTTTGACCTTGTATACGTCAATGACGATAGGCAACGATTTGTGCTGAAGGAACGGCACAAACGCCCAACATGGAGATTAGCTGCATGCAGACGATTGCTGATCATCTGACGCCAAACTCGTACTCAAGTACCCTTTTAAATGTTTGTAGCAATTTGATTCGCCATTTCGTAGAGCTTGGTTTCCGATCAATCGATCCTGGGCTCTTGTTATTGACCTTGGACGTGATCGATCAACCTTTGGGGATTTGTGGGTACCTAGTCCGTATTCTGTTGATCAAACAGTGTAAAACATTGAACGTATTGGT